TCGTGGCATCTGCTATCTTGGGACAGAGTGGGCCATGAACCCAGTAGTCCGCAGTGACATTACAGTCTCGCACTTCCTCAACTCAGTAGGAGGCTATCGCCACAAGGAGAGACGGGATCGTCTTTTGGACATTTTGGACGTGGATGTCGCTTGGAGAATGCATCAAATCAGCGATGGCGAGAGGCGACGAGTCCAGCTGACCATGGGCCTCATGGAGGAGTGGACAGTGCTGCTCCTTGACGAGGTCACAGTGGATCTTGATGTTCAGGTGCGAGCCGACTTGCTCGACTTCTTGATGACGGAGACGAGGGAACGAGGAGCGACCATCATATGTGAGAGAGCTGCTCAGGAGGAAGTGGTCTGCACTCTCGATTCGTTGCTCACTAGCCCTCTCGTCCGCCTTGCTTGACAGATGCAACGCACATCTTTGATGGTCTGCAGACATTCCCAACGCACGTAGTGCACATGCAGCTAGGAACAACGACCACCCCTCTTCCAATCGCATGGCCGCCCTCTTCCTCTGATGCCTCAGACGCACTGCCTGCACTGGACTCCAAGGTAGAGAGAGAAGGAAGCGTGCTGCTTGCCACCGCTCTGGCCTGGCTCAGGCAGGATAGAGAATTGCGTCTGGAAAAGGAGCAGGCCGAGGGTGGGCAGAAGAAACGCGGCGCTCAGCCAAGCAAAGACGACACAGATTCTAGCAGATTCTATTCAGGTCAGTTGCGCGACAAATCAAGCCTACAGCCTCAAGTCTTGACGTGCGCTGATCGCTCTCTTATGCTCATCTCGGTTAGCATACGATTACTCTCATTGAGCCCGCAAATCTGCTGGACAAACTGGTACGCGGGCATGCAAAAATGGTGGAGAGACATGCCTTTAGCATTGAAAAGCATCGCTTGGGGCGCAGAGAATGTCCGGTGATATGGAAAAGCATCGCTTGGGGCGCAGAGAATGTCACATTTATCACGGGTCACTAAGGTGTTTGACTGATAAGATCTGATGCGTCAAAATGGAAGCCGTTATGATCAG